TGTAGGCAGACTCATATCAGCTGAGGATCTTGTTAAAATGTAGGTTCTGACACAATAAGCTTAGGGTAGGTCCTGTGATTATGTATTTCTAACAAGCTAGTAGATGATACCCCAGCTGTTGGTCCTTGAACCCATATTCTGAGTAGCAAGGACCTAGGGGCTACAGTCTCTCTGGTGTTAGTCTTGCCCCAGTGGTCAGTCCTTGGAGCTGAAGCCTACCATCCCAGCTCTAGCTCTATGTGATTTCTGGATTAGTCCTTTAGTTCTCCTCACTGAAACTATAGGCCTATCCTGAACCTCACCATTGGGTTAAGTGACAACCTATACAATTCTTCCCAGACTACCCTTTCTGGGGGCGAGGCCCCATCTCTGGTCCTGCTCATTAGGTTCTGTTTCAAACTAATGGCTCCATTATTAACATTGTCATGGTGCGTTGGTGCTTGCTATCTTGTCTCACCCCGAAGATAGAGCCTCTTGGATCTCAGTGTTGACTCAGAGGGAGACAGGATTTACCATGCCTTCACTGACATTGACCTGAATCACTGGTCACCCTCCACAGGGAGGCTGTCTAGACTCCCTCACCCTGATTCCACTTGTTTCTGGCAAGAGATGAGGTAAAGACTTGTAGGTAGGATTTGACGGGAGCGAGACCGGAGGTAAGAAGGTTCTGAATTAATATGGCAAACTGAGCACATCCATCTAATTTCACTCCCTCTCAAAGCACGACTATCAATACAGTAATGGTATTTTTAAAAGAAAAAAGACTCACTAGGACAGGAAGAACAGTAGGTAATAATCAAAGCGTTATTAGTTTGAAAGAACAGAGTAGGCTCAATGCCTAACTGGCAGTGGGCAAATCTGAGAGCCAACCTGAATTACATCACAAAATCCTCAGAAGGCACAGGGGTTGACAGCACTAAGTACCTCTGGAACTGGGGGTGGGGGTGGGGCTGGACTAAAATGAGGAGGGTTGTGTGAAAGCTAAGTGCGAAAGATAGATTTCCCACCCCATAGCATTGGTTGAGCCTGTCCCTCATCCCAGGAGAATATTTGAGTTATATTCTCTGGAGAAGGTAAAACAGAGAGGTTCTGGACTGGAGGACGGGAGGCACAGTAAAGCAGGAGGATGAAATGACTCTTCATATACTGAATGCTGGGTACGCAGAGTCCCTAACCTTTTTTCCCACTTGGCTCCCAGTACATACGCCTTTACTATCAAGGCAGGTGGTTGAAAGAAATTTCTCTGGGGAATCTTGTTCTCAACAAATGACCCATGCAGTTCACCCCTATAGTGAAGCTCAAAGTCAGCAAGCCCCACGGGTGTGCTCAGAGATTTCAACAGATATTTATTTCCTCATTCTTTTTTTTTTTTTTTTTTTTTTTTTGCGGTACGCGGGCCTCTCACTGTTGTGGCCTCTCCCGTTGCGGAGCACAGGCTCCTGACGCGCAGGCTCAGCGGCCATGGCTCATGGGCCCAGCCGCTCCGCGGCACGTGGGATCTTCCCAGACCCGGGCACGAACCCGTGTCCCCTGCATCGGCAGGCGGACTCTCAACCACTGCACCACCAGGGAAGCCCTACTTCCTCATTCTTAACCAAGAGCCAAGCAGAAGCCAAAGTTACTAGATATCTGAGAAAAGACTCTAATATTGAAGACAGAGAACAAAACAAAACACAAATTTTTTCCATGATATTTTCATGGGAAAAAATGTAAATTTTTTGATACCTCAAAAAGAGTATCATGGGGACTTCCCTGGTGGCACAGTGGTTAAGAGTCCACCTGCCAATGATGGGGACTCAGGTTCGAGCCCTGGTCTGGGAAGATCCCACATGCCATGGAGCAACTAAGCCTGTGTGCCACAACTACTGAGCCTGCGTACCACAACTACTGAAGCCCGCGCACCTAGGGCCTGTGCTCCGCAGCAAGTGAAGCCACTGCAATGAGAAGCCCATGCACTGCAACGAAGAGTAGCCCCCGCTAGCCACAACTTGAGAAAGCCCACGCGCAACAATGAAGACCCAACGCAGACAAAAATAAATAAATTAGTTAATTAATTTAAAAAAAAAGAAAAAGAGGGCTTCCCTGGTGGTGCAGTGGTTGAGAATCCGCCTGCCAATGCAGGGGACACGGGTTTGTGCCCCGGTCCGGGAGGATCCCGCATGCCGTGGAGCGGCTGGGCCCGTGAGCCATGGCCACTGAGCCTGTGCATCCGGAGCCTGTGCTCCGCAACGGGAGAGGCCACGACAGTGAGAGTCCCTCGTACCGCAAAAAAAAAAAAAAAGAGTATCATGGTAGGGAATTCTCTGGCAGTCCAGTGGTTAGGGCTCAGCGCTTTCACTGCCAAGGGCCCGGGGAACTAAGCTCCCACAAGCTGCGTGGCATGGCCAAACAAACAAACCAAAAAAGAGAGAGAGAGAGAGAATATATAAGGTGAAGCCCACCTAAAATGTATTGTTGGAGAATGGTGTGGAGATCTTGGACACCAAGATCTAATGGGTGTCCTCGTTGCTACAGGGTGTCATTGCTTGTAGGCCTCTCATAGGACAGAGCTAGGAAATAACCGTATCTGTACCTATATGTGTATACACAACACTATCATCATCTCTCAGTATCTGTGTTAAGCTAAACACGAGTTCATACTAATAGCTCTCACTATAATCCAGTATCACATGGTTCACTCTAGCTTTCCCTCCTTTCCTAACTGTACCCTCTCACTCCAACAGTAAGAAAGCGGGTTCCCATCGTCTGCCATTCATATACTTATTTGTTCATTCCCGGTCTATGCGTAGAGTGGTTTTAGAATTGTTAACCCATACCTCCAAGGAAAACGACTTTATCAACCTGAGGACAAAGCTTAAGTATAGTTCCTTTTCAGTCTTCCAGTTTCCAGAGTTTCCAAAGTTACTTAAGTCAGCACCTCTTTTTCCTCACCCACTTCAGTGAAATAATGTCATTTATAATATAGATTCTTTTGTAATAGTCTATATTCCATCCTAGAATCTTCTGTCCTCCTGGTTGATTTTTTAAAATTTTCATACATTAAGATTCAGTCTTTGTGCTATAAAGTTCTACCAGTTTTTATAAATGGGTAGTGTCATGAACAGTATATATTTCAGGAATAAGGTGCAATAAAATATATGAAAAAAACCCTTAGGGTGGGCAAGGGAAGAAGATAAGGAAGAAGCAAATAAATAGATTGTAAATTATTGGCAACGTTCCATTTTTAACGTTAGACAGTGAATTCATTATATAAATAAATAAGACCATACTTGGATCAGGATCAGTGTTAGTAGCACATACATACCGAAGATTATGAATTATGATTATAAGCAAAGTGTATGGACTTCCTATCCCCATCAAGGAGGAAAAGGGGCCGTCTAGTTTCCCCAGGTGTTTTAATCAAAAGGATCAGAAACTACCCAAGCATTCCTTGATGGATAAATGGACAAACAGAATGTAGTCTGTGTACAGTGCAATATTACTCAGCCTTAAAGAGTAAGGAGATTCTCTGGAATTCTCTGGTGGGCCGGTGGTTAGAACTCTGTGCTTTCAATGCCAAGGACTTGGGTTCAGTCCCTGGTCAGGGAACTAAAATCCCACAAGGTGAATGGCGTGGTAAAAAAAAAAAAAAAAAAAGGAAATTCTGTCACATGCTACAACATGGATGAACCTTGAGGACATTATACTAAGTGAAATAAACCAGTCACAAAAGGACAAGCACTGTATGATTCCACTTACATGAGGTACTAGAGTAGTCACATTTATAGAGACAGAAAGTAGAATGATGGTTACCAGGGGCTTGGAGAGGGGAATGGGGAGTTAGTGTTTAATAAGTACAAAATTTCAGTTGGGGAAGATGAAAAAGTTCTGGAGATGGATGGCAGTGACAGTTGCACAACGATATGAATGCAACTTGCAGCTTAATGCAACTGAACTGTGCACTTAAAAATAGCTAAAATGGGGCTTCCCTGGTGGCACAGTGGTTGAGAGTCTGCCTGCCAATGCAGGGGACACGGGTTCGTGCCCCATTCCGGGAGGATCCCACATGCTGCGGAGTGGCTAGACCCGTGAGCCATGGCCGCTGAGCCTGTGCGTCCAGAGCCTGTGCTCCGCAACGGGAGAGGCCACAACAGTGAGAGGCCCGCGTACTGCAAAAAAAAAAAAAAAAAAAAAAGCTAAAATGGTGCATTTTGTGTTTTATGTATATTATATTTTATATATATATATATATATATATAATATATATAATCCCCCTCCAAAAAAAGACAAAGACTGAAGAAACAAGTTTGCCCTTCCCCAATAGGAGTCTGAGTGAACTGGTATGTAGGGATTAAGACCATGTCTCCATGAGTTCTTTTACCCCAACATCAAGAGAGCATAAGGGGTGTAATTCCCTGGTGGTCCAGTGGTTAGGACTCCACGCTTTCACTGGGTTTCACTGCTGTGGGCCCAGGTTCGATCCCTGGTCAGTGAACTAAGATCCCATAAGCCGTGTGGCATGGCCAACAAAAAATAGAGAGTGCAGGGTGTGCCTGTGTAACTGGTCCGTGCACTGAACTAAGACCACACAACTCTCAGGTCTTCTATTCACATCATGTGATCAAAGAGGGGATCTCTAACCTTAGACTAACCCCTGGTTTCCTGAGAAATCCCAACTCCTTCAGCAGGTATCAAAGTGGATTCTGCATCTGGTGTAAATGTGCCCCTCCACCAACAGGGCCAAGAGTGAACCTGAGCTCCTGAGAACTTGATTATAACCTTCCCCTTCCATCAGGCTTTCTACCTACATCATCAGAGAACAAGAGGGGTACATGAACTGGGACTGAGATCTTGAATCCCTAGACTTCCTTGCCTCTATTAACAGGGGTAAAAAATAATACCCAGACACCCACCACTCCCTATTCCCTAACCACACTGAACAGACTTGAACTTCTGCCTTGAATCCCTTGGAACTAATCCCATTATGTTTTTGATCTCTGTTTATATCAATCACCATGAAGTTGGGAGAGGCAATCCCTTGTGTGTCCTGGACATCCCTGCAGAGGGTACCAACTGCGAGACTTATCCCATGTTATTGAGCAGTTTCGATAGTCAGAGGAGCAACTAAGTAGCTCAAGGTGACCACGGCGTGACTGCTGTTTGCTTGCTCAACTGTTCCTTCTGCGGAGAGGGGGGCTGGCTTGTCTGCTGCTTACTATAAAAGATACTGAGGCTTGGGCCTGAAATTCTTAGCTGTGGCACAACCCACTACATGTGCAGCGTCCATCTGGGCCTATTATATCATCCTGTGGGGCCTAAGGGCAAGGGGAATCAGCACAGTTAGGCTGATACTCCTGCTGTTTGCTGTGCTGTAAGAAACTGTTTTGCTCTGATCCATTAAGTTTCAATGTCAACTTTTAGCCACCAAGGAGTTGTGGCAGACCAACCTGCTTGCTTGCCTAGTTATCACCTTTGGAGTCTTGTTACTTCTTGCCTTCCTCAGTGAGGTTGGGGTTCTTCCATGACACCCCGTATCCCACATTGGAAGCCCCATAAAGATTGGCATATCCCCTACTCTGTCCCCCCCACCCCTCCCAACTCCTAAAATTCTTCCACTATTTACTCTAAATTTTATGATCCATTATCAGCAAAATCACCTATATTCTCAAATATTTCTTGAACATTCCCTTCATCTTTTTGCATTTAAAGTGGTGGCTGTATGTATATACTCCCACGACTGTCATATTATTGGGCCTGGACATCAGGTAGGTGTCCTGCTATTTTCAGATCATTCTCAGTCTTTCCTCCCTGATAACCTCAAGCTCAGAATCTCATGTTTTCAGACATCACCCACTCTCTGTAATAGCTTTGGGCATCTTCTGATATTCTTCTCATCCCAATATACCCACCTCATGTATTTACTATTTTATTTTATTTCTTTACTTTTTTACTTTCAATGTCATTAGTTTTGTTTCCTTTACTTTTAGATGTCAAAGAAGGAACTGCATATCTATCAGTTCAACTCTCAGATGCAATAAGGCCACCAATGGTATCGTAATAAACTGAAATGTTTTTATTATCTTTTTTGCCTTTCCAAGAGAGGCAGTCTAATGATGAATACCGACCTCAATGCTTACTCACCTTGGGACCTTTCTGAGCATCAGTGACTCATCTACAGAATGGGATAAAACCACCAGGGCAATGAAGAAAATAAAGAGAAAAGCCACAGAACACAGAGTATTTGGTTAATGCTAGTCTACTTGGATCAGAATATTATTTGAGAGGAGGAGGAAAACCCATTTTCTCTTCCCACGTTGGATGATGTGACCCCTGCAGTTTTTAAAATAAATTTATTTATTTATTTATTTTTGGCTGCATTGGGTCTTCGTTGCTGCACGTGGGCTTTCTCTAGTTGTGTCGAGCAAGGGCTACTCTTCATTGCAGTGCGCAGGTTTCTCATTGCGGTGGCTTCTCTTGCTTCTCTTTATTTTATTGGCCTTATCCCCCAATCTACATTGCCAGATTATTTATTATAATAATATAATAATATGTATATAATAATATAAAATAAATATAAATTGCTTATTTAGAAGAATTTAAACTTACAGAAAAGCTGCAAGAATAGTTCAAGCAACCAAATGAACACCTTAGATTCAACAATTGTTAATATTTTTTCACATTTGCATATTAAAATAAATATATCCTCATCTTCCCATATGAAAATAAAATTACCCGTGTGTTAGAATATATTAGAATATAATGTGCACTGCAAATGGTGCAGTGAAAAAGTATGTGTGTTTGTGTGTATACCTTTGGAAGATAGTATATATATGAATATGCATACTTTGTTGGAGATAGTTGCAAACTTTGTGATATTTTATAACAGGGTTTTTAATTTTGATTAGACTATCTTAAAGTTTGTGTGGAAGAAAAAATGTTTAAAAATAACCAAGAAAATTATGAAAAAGAACAACAGTGATAAAGTAGCCATAATAGATATTTATATTATAAAGCCTCTGTAATAAAATATATGAGAACAGAATAGATTATCCAGAAATATATCAAAAATATATGATTTTTTTTATATTAAAAATGCTAGTTGAACTTATTGGAGAAAAGTGGCTTTAATAAATGGCCTAGAGGGAAAATGAAGTTTGATCATTACCTCACATCATATGCAAAAAAACCCCTGCTTAAACGTAAACAATTAAAATTATAGAAGAAAATTTAGGCACCTACACACAGACAAACTAAATGTTACGTAACCTGTAAATCAACACAGGAGACCCAGGAGCTATAAAGGAATAGATTTAACAATACCAGAAAAACCCCAAAAACTGTTTGTGGAAAACGATTCCATAAACAAAGAGACTGTTAATATGTTAAGAAAAGTTTTTTTTTTTTTTTTTAGTATTTATTTATTTATTTGGCTGCGTTGGGTCTTAGATGCGACACGTGGGATCTTTGCTGCGGCACACAGGCTTCTCTCTAGGTGTGGTGCACAGGCTCCAGAGTACACGGGCTCAGTAGTTACCATGCGCGAGCTTAGTTGCCCCTTGGCATGTGAGATCTTAGTTCCCCGACCAGGGATAGAACCCATGTCCCCTGCACTGGAAGGTGGATTCTTAACCACTGGACCACCAGGGAAGTCCCAAGAAAAGTTTCTGCAATACAAAGAACGTATAAGGACTAAGACCTATAAATGTAAAGAATTTTCACAATGTGGTAACAAAAAGACAACACATAGAAAAGTGGACAAAAGATATAAATGGACAATTCACAGAAGAGCAAATGCAAATGACAAGAAGACATATAAACAGATGCTCATCTTCCCAGCAGTCAGAGAAATGCAAATTCAAGTACAATGCTGTCATTTACACCTATCAAATTGGTAAGAACTAAAAAGAGTAATACTGCCTACTGCTGACAGTGGCATAGAAAGGAAGGACTCTCATGGTGGTGGAAATATGAACGTTGTTGACTTTTTGAAAGCAATATGGAAACATCTGTTAGAATTTAAAATGCTGTATAAACAACAAGGTCCTACTGTATAGCACAGGGAACTATATTCAATATCCTGTGATAAACCATAATGGAAAAGAATATGAAAAAGTATGTATACATATGTATAACTGAATCACTTTGTTGTACAGTAGAAATTAACACATTGTAAATCAACTATATGTCAATAAAATTAAAAAAAATAAAAAGATTGAATCATTAAAAAAACATTTTTAATGCACATACCCTTCAAGCAAGCAATCCCACTGCCAGGAATCTATCTTGTAAACAGTCAAGGGTGACAATTATTGAGTACTTATTTTGTGCCAAGTTCTGTTCCATGCACAATAATATATTATCTCATTTAATCCTCACAACAACCCTGTGAGGTATTATTATCCTTGTTTTGTAGGGAGTAATGAAGAACCCGTGGCACAGAGAGATCAGGTGACTTGCTCAAGGAGACACAGATCATAAGTAAAGAGCTAGGTTTCAAATCTAGGCTGTCTGAATTCAGGACTTGTACTCCTAGCCACCAACTAAATCCTCCTTTCATAACAGAAATAAAAGCACCAGGGTGGGAGGAATAAGCTCAAGGGTGTGCTCTGCAGCATTGTTTGTAATAGCAAGAACCAGATGCAAGGGGAATAACCAGCCACAGGGAATGTTTGATTAAACTGTGGACCATTCATACCATGGAATGTTACCCAATCATGAAAGAGAATGTATTAGATCTATGTCAGTTGATTTAGAGGGATTTCCACAATATACTAAGTGAGAAAAGCAAGATAGAGAGAAATACATAATCTCATTTTGTTTTGTAAAACAAAGACAAATGCCCTCAGTATTATGAAGACAAACAACCCAATCTAAAAATGGGCAAAAGATCTGAACAGACATCTTACCAAAGAAAACATACACATGGCAAATACTCAGGTGAAAAGATGCTCCACATCATATATCACTAGGGAATTGCAAATAAAACAACGAGATACCACTACACACCTATTAGAAGGGTCAGAATCCAGAACATTGACAACACCGAATGCTGGCAAGGATGTGCAGCAATAGGAACGCTCATTCATTGCTGGTGGGAATTCAGAACTGTACAGCCACTTTGGAAGACAGTTTGGTGGTATCTTACAAAATGAAACAAATTCTTACCATATGATCCAGCAATCAGCAATCATGCTCCTTGGAATTTATCCAATGAGTTGAAAACTTAAGTCCACATGAAAACCTGCACATGAATACTTAAGGCAGTTTTATTCATAATTGCCAGAACTTGGAAGCAGCCAAGATGTCCTTCAGTAGGCGAGTGAATAAACAAACTGTGGTATATCCAGACAATGGAATATTATTCAGCACTGAAAAGAAATGTGCTATCAAGACATGAAAAGACAGAAGAAACGTAAATGCATATTACTAAGTGAAAGAAGTCAATCTGAAAAGGCTGTATACTATAGGATTCTAACTATAGGACATTTATAAAAGGCAAAACTATGGAAACAGTAAAAAGATCACTGGTTGGGGTGTGGAGGAAGGAATGAACAGGTGGAACATAGGGGAATTTTTAGGGCAGTGAAACTATTCTGTATGATACTGTAATGGTGGATACATGTCATTATACATTTGAAGATGTATGGACCACACATACACAGACCTTAGCTATGGACCATACATACACAGACCTTAGTTAATAATAATGTGTCAATATTGACTCATCAATCGTAACAAATGTACCACACTAAAGTATGATGTTAATAAAATAGGAAATGTGGGTGCGGGAGTGGTAAGGGGTATTTGGGAACTGTGTACTTTCTGCTCAGTTTTTCTGTAAACCTGACTGCTCAAAAAATTAGTCTATTGATTAAAAACAAACAAGCAAATCCCCTAATGTGTCTTTCTGTATTTATCATCTACATATCATCACATGTGCATTGAGAAAGCTAAGGAAGAGAACACACCTGGGTTTGAGGGGGTGATGGTGGGAATGGGAGCGGGTCCAATATAGACTGAATTTTGAGTAAACGCATAAAATTCAGAATTCTGAGCCAAGAAAACATTCCAACTAAACAAGGAGGAAACGAGCCCAGGGTGGTACACAGAAGATCTGGAACTGCATCCAAACTCATTTCTTAGCCACACTGGTTAAGGGTTATTACCAGTTTCTAAATTTGAAAATTGTACGTAGTTTGTATTAAAAACAAAGCAACAACCAACCAAACAAAAAGGTGGCTATTATTAAGAAATGTCCTGTTCTGATCTCCCATATGTGTCCATATCTCACCCATCTCTCAAGATCCAATTGAAATATCCATTTCCACAAAGCTTCCCTGATTGTAACCGCTGAAAAGAAAATTTCTCCTTCCTCTGAGATTCCATAATACTTCACCTGTGTCTTCTGTGGGCATCTGGCATTGCATCTGTATGAATACATGTCTTAGCACTATGTGGGGCACTCCCTGATGGAAATAAACCTTCTTAAGGGCATGTTTGTTAAGGATTTTATTTAGAATGAACTCATAACCTGGAATGAGAAACATAATACAATTCACCACAGAGTTAACTTGAACAAAATTGTTTGCGACCTACTAAAAGCTAGTTTAGAGTAGGGTTCTTATAGTAATTTCTAGTTCTTTTCTTACTGAGGTCTTTAAGCAGTTATGGCTTGAAGACTTCTGGTCTCCTCTGCCCATCTCTTTCAGATTCTCCTGCTCCACTTTCTATGCGACTCTGCTATTCCTGTCCCATCCGATCTAGGTTAGGATGTGACCTCTTGCATCAGGGCCCTTATTGTTAGTGGACAATTCTCCAGCTCCTCATCTGCAATTGCTTACCATTCCTTTTTGGTACCCAACTCCTGGCCACCTTCTTTCAGAAGAGGTTTGCTCATATTATCACTTCTTGTGAAATGCCCACTTCCCAGGAATGAGTTCTCTTTTCATTTGTCTGACCCTGCAGGTTTCTGTTCTGAGCGCTTATCTGAGCCCTTGGTGTTCTTGCCACCTCTCTTGTAGAGATGAGGAAAATAAGACTCTTTTCCTTTGGTAGGAAGAGTAACTCCTTGATTAGAGTCTGACTGTGCCCCAGGGAATAGATACCTAGGTATCTTACACAGATACACTTTCTGTATCTGGCAGGTAGTTTTCACCCAGCATGAGGTGGACTCCATTACTTCCCCTCTAGATTATACACTCCTTGAGGGCGGGAACTGGGTCTAATTTATCTTGGCACCTCCTGTAACATCTAGCACATTTGCACAGTGTCATTTTCATAGTGGACTGATTCAGCAACAACTTAAGTGTCCATGAGCCAGCCATTTTACCTGATCCTAGGGATGCCAAATAAACACAGCTTCTGT